CGCTGCTTCCGCCAGTCTGATTCGCGGATGACGATGACGACGATGACGACGTCTGTCCATGGTGCTGCTGCTGCGTTCGCGATGTGGTGGAAGCGCCTGGTGGCTGCAATTGCGCACTGGCCGACGGCGCTGCTGTCGCTGTCGCTGTGGATGTGGTTGTAGTTGTTGGAGTCGATGATGACGACGTTGGTGTTGACGGAACACCAGCAGTTGCAAATTGCAACGGACCAAAGGGCCCAAAGGTGCCCAGTGGCCCTTCCAGCCGCACAGCAGAGACGCGCGGCGGCTGGTGGCGGGCTCCCTGCGCACCGCTACTCGTGGCCTGCTGGTGCTGGTGCTGGTGTCGTTGTTCATGCTGGTGAAGATGCTGCCGGTGGTGCTGTTCATGCTGCTGCTGCTGTTGCTGCCGTTGCTGCCGTTGCTGCTGAAGATTCGCGGGTGTCCCAAAGCGAATCATAACCCGTCGACCACCAGGAAGAGCCGTGGTTGTTTGTGGTGCCGTTGTCGTCGTGGTCGTGGTGGTGGTGCCCGGTGTCGCACCCCCACGCGATGCAGAAGAGGAGGAAGAGGACGACGAAGTTATCGTTGTTGTGGTGGTAGCAGTTCTTGGGGCACCTGCTGCTGCTGTGGCTGCTGCTGGTGCAGACGAAGTTGATCGGTGCGATGCAGCATGCTCAAGCGTGCGCAGCGTCTGCCGGCATGCAAGGAAACAATTCAGGGGGCGCCACAACCACGACAAGTGCAGTCCATGGCAAAGTGAAAGCGTAAGTGCGTGATTTGAAGCGAAATGGGGTGCTATGCGCTGAGGACGATGTGAACACGCATTTGTGGTGAAAGCAGCCTTGCCCGATGAACAGACAAAAACATACGGCAATCACACGCACGAACACACACATGCGAGCACACCTGCATAAACAAACGCAAACAAACACAAACACAAACAAACAAACAAACACATACACACACGAATGCACCGCACCCTAAGCTTTGCGTTGTACTGCCGCTCGAGGGCATATCCCTGCTCGAGAAGATCCAGCTGGCGGTCAGCGACGTGCTGCTCCTCGTTGAAGAGTCCGTCAGCCTCCGCATACAGCTGGTCCTGCCCCTGGCACAGCAACAGCGGCGGCGGTGGCAGCAGAGGTGCATGGTGAGTAGCAGCGTCAGCGTGATGTGGTTGTTGTGTACTGATGTTGTCTTGTGTCTGTGGGCAAAACACCCACCCACATACACTCACTCACTCACACATACACACACACGCACACACACATAATTACATGCACCCCCACCCCCCCCCCACACACACACACCCCACGCACACGCACACACACAATCGTACGCAGACACACAATTGCATGAACCTGCGGGTCGGTAGCGGCGCGGGCCTGGCGCAGGAGCTGCAGGCGGCGGCGGCGAAGATCAGTGGCGGTGACGGCGAGCTCGCGGCGCTGGGAGGCGAGGCGCGCCTGCTGGGCCTCAAGCTGCACAAGCTCAACACGGAGCCGCTGGCCCGCAGACTCAGCCTGCACTCAACCACATGACCACACGTAACGACGAGAGTGACGTGTGTGTATGTAGGTGTGTGTGCGTATGTAGGTGTGTGTGTGCGTATGTGTTGTTTTGTTGTTGGGGGTTAACGGAAGCGAATGTGGGGCGAAAATCAGCACGTGATGTGGAAGACAGACTGTTTGCTTGTAGGGCAAAACAGCGATTCGAACCCAGGTGAAACCAGGGTGCACAAGATACAGATGCGCAGCGTCGTATCGCACAGAAATTACCACGACACCCAGAACTGCAACCATGATGCATGTTTGTTCATGCATTCGCCTGCCACGCACCCCAGATGAGCTCAGCACGACAGGGTAGGTGAGGTCAATGCTCGTGGGCACATCGTGCATCCCTTCTGCCATCGGCTGCACAGGCTCTGGCTGCTGCTGCTGTGGCTGTGACTGTGGCTGTGGCTGTGGCTGTGGTTGTGGTTGTGATTGTGGTTGTGGTTGCTGCAGCAGTTCACTTGGGTGCTGCAGGACAGTGGCAGTGAGCGGCGACATGCCAGGCATCTGAAACTGCGGATTCTGCACAAACGGCTGTACCCGCGGCTGTTGTCGGTGCTGAGGTTGCGGCTGTTGTCGGTGCTGGCCTTGCTGTGGCTGCTGGCCTTGCTGTGGCTGCTGGCCTTGCTGTTGCTATCAATCGTCATGACAAACAAGCAATGAATTGTACCAGTGAGGCGACAAAGGAAGGACTGGGAGGGAGGGTTGTTCGCAACTCGCAATACAATGTGTTTCTGAGAAAGGACACATTGCCACACACCATATCACAATCCCATGCCCTCATGCACACACGAATAATGTGGCATGATGACAGTTCGCACCTGCAAGTACTGATCGTCCTCAAAGTCGTGAACGGCGTTCACAATGGACTGATGCGCCTGGAGGGCCAAACAGATGGTTTGTCACAGGTGTGCAAGCAGCACAAGTGTGCAAGTTGTGTTCCGGGAGGGAGGGGGGAAGGGGCGACAGCGTGCACAAATGGGGTAAGTGAGAGAAGCACACACACGAAGACACACACGGGGAGACACACACTCACACGGGGAGACACAGAGACATGGGGACACACACACACGCACACACACGCACACGCACACACACGATGCATCCGTCACACGGACACAGATACGTCATAGTGACGCACCGAAGCCATGTCCATCTGCAGGTCCTCCAAGTGCTCCAGGATGTGCAGCAGTGGCGAGAGATTTTCGGGCCGCTGCCGTCCAGCCCGCACAAACTACACCATGGTGCAACATGGTGTTGGGGACACGCGTCAATAACAACAGAGGCTTAAGACAGCGCTCATACACACCAAACGTGTGCCTATGCACGCACCGACCGCACACACACACAGAGGTACAGACGTACACACAAACACGCCTACACACACACACGCCTACACACACACACACACACACACACACACACACACACACACACACACACAACGCCTGCCGACCTGGAGCATGACAGATGGGAGGCGACGGAGGGAGGAGATGAGGTCTCTCAGCGTGACGCGGAAGTTAAAGTCGGCTGCTTCCCGTGCACGCACCGTCGCCTCATCTTCGACCTCTTGACCAGCACGATCACCATCACCGCTACCGTCAGTAGCAGCAGCGTGCTGTTGCTCAGCGTCTGTTGCTGTTGCTGTTGCTGTTGCAGGGGACGGCAATGACGACGGCGCTGTTGACACGGAATGCGCGCTGGGCGTGGACTCGCTGACCTTCTTCTTCTTTGCCACCTGTGCAGATGGCTCGTGCGAGGGGCCCTCGCAGTGGATCTCCTCCACCTGCTCACCAGCACCGCCGCCCACACTCGCATTCTCCTCGTCGTCATCATCGTCATCATTGCCATCGCCGTCTTGGGTGTCACCAGGGACGCGGGCTGTCTTCGAGACGCCCTCCTTCGTGTTCTTCTGTGCGTCTTCAACCCCACCGCTGCTGCTGCTTCCCTTGTCCCCCTTTGCCACGCTGCCGCCAACACTGACCTCCGCGTTCGCCGTTGCGCTATCCTCGGCAGTGTCCATGCCATTCGCGGCCCCATCACCATCACCATCACCATCACCATCACCATCACCATCGGCGTTGAAGTCTGGGTTGGTCCGGCGGCAGTTGATGATCTGGCGCGGCAGCTCGTCAAGCTCTGCACACATCCACACAGCAACACACAAAACAGGCCGTAGAGGTGAGCATGTGTTGGAGTGGCTGGTGTACATTTAAGTATGAAGTACGTTGACAGCGTCGACAAAATGGGACAAAACCTCTCTCACACACACACACACACACACACACACACACACGTGCACAGGCATGATGAAGGTCATGACATCACGTACGAGACTCGAGCATGGCGGAGAAGCGGGGAATGGCCGGCAAATCGTGCAGCAAATCCTGCAGACGAAGTTCCACCTCTGTACACACATGCATGCACGTGCACGTGCACGTGCACACGCACACGCACACACATGAGAAACAATAATGCATAGCGGGCAATTGATTGCAAGGCAAGCCATACATCTTCATGGGGCAACACTTGATTCCCTGCCACACCTTCGAGTGCGGCATCAAGGGAGAACTGGGATGCCGGATGCTGTGCGCGGTCCCGTTGTTGACCCTGCCCCTGTTCCTGCTGACTCTGCTCTTGCGCTTGCTGCTGCTGTTGTTGCTGCGGTTGCTGTTGCTGCGGTTGCTGTTGCTGTGGCTGTTGTGGCTGCTGCCCTGGTGCGGGCTGGTGGTGGTGGTGGTGGTGCGGCTGATGATGGGGGTGGTGGTGGTGGTGCGGATGTTGGTGGGGGTGGTGGTGTCCTGCTGCCATTTGGCGGGAAAGTTGGGCGGCCATCTGCTGCGCAATGGCGACCGACTGCCGCTGGATTTCGCTCATCTGCTCCTGTGACGGCGCGCCCGTTGCAGGGTCAATGTCCACAACCTGGTCTCCGCCGAGCGTAAACGCCATGCCCTGTATTGAACACGTGTGAGCGTGTGAGTGCAAGGGAAAGAGTGGAGTTGGGAGCACACGTACGCAACAGTGGGCGACAAGGTGATGGTTTTTTTTTTTGGGGGGGGGGGGAGGTACGTGGGGAACAATCAGGGAGAAGGGCAATTGACGCGTGCATCATCATCATCATCATCATCATCATCATCATCATCATCATCATCATCATCATCATCATCATCCTCATCATCATCATCATCATCCTCATCATCATCACATCGCAAGAGACGGCACAGAACTTACGGGGCCGAAACCAGGCACTTGGAATGTGGACGTTGGGCCAACCGTCCAGGATTGGGTGTTTGGTGGGGCGGCATGAGCTGCCGGTGGCGTTGCATCCGCGCCATCCGAGTTGCCCGTGTCGTCAGATGGTGGCTGCGGTCGTGTGGTGGTTACGTGTACGTTGCAAAAGGCCGGTGAGTGTGTTTGCGAGTGAGGAGAGGAAGGAAGCCATATGCACAAAAGCAGCATACTGTGCAGGCATGCAGCGCAACGTAGAAGTGTGGCAACTGACCGCGCGTTGCACCAGGTGCACTGTGCTGCCGTCAGAGACGCCAGCATCCGCCAGCGTCTGCGAGTCGACAAGAGAACGGCCTTGAAACAGCAAACGCTGTGTTGCAGGCGACATGCCCTGTGTATGTGTGCGTGTATGTGTGCGTGTGTGTGGGAGGGGGGATTGTGCACGAGTGAATCAATGCTGAGACACTGTGGAAACGAAAGGCACGTTGCATCTGCACGGTGTCATGTTGTTGGCGCCAAACAGCACTTGCATGCGCGCTTGCGCCATGCACAACACAACACCACTACCACGACTACAGCCAGCATGACAACGGCAACAGCAACGGCAACGGCAAGAACAAGAGCCAGGTGGCTGTTTGTGTGTCATGTAAAGCGAGGATACAGTGGAAGCTGTGAACACATACCCGAGCGCGCGAAATTGCCTCCTTCAGGTCAGCGACCGTGCCCTGTCGACGTGATGTGGTGTGTGTGTGTGTGTGTGTGTGTGTGTGTGTATGTGCATGCATGCACGGGCGCATGTATCAGTACGAACGAGGATGGCGGGTACCAATAACCCACAGCCGACAGCCACGCAGCCATACCGCCATGCACGCAAACGCACACGCGCACACGCGCACAAGCATGCGTATGCACACACGCACGTGTACACGTGCACCCACGTCTCCAACAAAAGAGCCATCCATCCATACCTGGCGCGAAACCTCAATTGAGAACGTTTCCTCCGTGATCATGCGGATGGACACCCGCATCATTGTGGATGAAGAAGACGATGGCGTAGTATTCGTGGACATGGCTGGTGCTTATCGCCCTGGCTGCCGTTGGAATGGAACTGACTTGATGTGGTGAACTTGTTGGTCTAGTCGAGTGAAAGGTGCGCGCGATGTACGGAAAAGAGCGGGTTCGACACAACACCAACACATTAGTTAGCAGATCATGGCAGATGTGAAGAAAAAGGCAACAACCGCTTCTGTTAGTTGCGCATCGAATTCATCTCCAACACAACTTTTCTTTTTTCATCTCGCGTCTTGCGTCTCTCGTGGTTTTTGCTGCACTGCTGCTTGTGCTTGTTGCAGAGTGAAGGATGGAGGTGAGCCGGAAGAAGGTGATTGTGCTGTGTGGTGGCAGCAATGGCAACCATGCGCTCGTGGCTGATCTTGGCCGTCGCGAAGACTACACGGTACGCATGCAAGAGTAGCACACAAACAGTTGCTGTGGATGGTTTGTGTGGCTGTGTGTGTGTGTGTGTGTGCATACACGTGTGCTTGCGTGTGTGTCTGTCTGTGTGTGTGTGTGCGTGTGTATTTGTGTGTTTGCGTGCGTGTTTGTGTGCGTTGCAGTGTTTGGCATGGTGAGCCAGTGACAGTGGAGATGACAGAGGTTTTTGCACCTTATCAAGAGGTTTTGCACCTTGCCATTACCTTGTACCCACAGCTCGGCGACAACACACACACACACACACGCACACACACACACACACACACACACACACACACACACAATGCACTGTACTGCAGGTTCGCCTGATTACTCGACGACCAGAGAAATGGAAGGGCACGGTGTATGCTCGGGAACAGAAGTTCCTCACAGACTCCTACCCAATGTACCCAAGCCCCACATGGTGGATCACATACTCAGGTTTGTGTGTCAGTGTGTCGATGTGTGCTTTGGTTGGCATCTTCCTCGTGGATCGATGTGGTTTGGTTGGCATCTTCCTCGAACATCCTTGTTGGAGATGCGCACATGAGTGATTGCGGCTTTTGCTCTGCAGCAACAAACAAGCACCGTCACACGCATGCACGCACACACAACTGTCTGCATGTCGCTCTCTCTCTCTCTCTCTCTCTTACCCAGTCAGTCTGTCTGTCTGTCTGTCTGTCTGTCTGTCTTTCCCTCTCTCTCCCTCTGTCCCTCTCCCCTCCTCTCTCTCTCACACACACACACACACACACACACACACACACACACACACACACACACACACACACACACACACACACACACTCTCTCTCTCTCTCTCTCTCTCTTTCTCTCTCTCACATTCACTCTCTTTTTCTCTCACACACCCAACCCCCCCCCCCCCAATATCTTCTCACGCCCTGCACACCCCTACACACATGCGTAGGCGCTGCGGATGAGGTGTATGGGTGGGAGGATGCGGCCAAGGCATTGGATGGCGCCCACATGGCCCTGATGGTCTGCCCCGTGTCCGCGCACGAGGACATGCTGCGCATGCTCTTTGCCAGCCTGCCCGACCACCCCATCATCATCGGCACGTCGTACGGCCAGGGCGGCTTCGACTGGCTCGCCCGCAAGCTGCTCAAGGGCAACTCGCGCGCCAGCCTCGTCACCCTCTTTGCTATGAAGCACTACCCGCTGCTGTGCAAGGCGTGGGACTACGGCAAGAAAATCAACATGTTTGGCCGCTACCCGGATCTACGCTGCGCGGTCTCGCCACACACCACGCGCAACTGCGACGCCGTCAAGTTCTTTCTCGACGACATCTTCCAGAAGGATGTCAAGATTGTCACGGATTTTATCGTGCCCACCCTCGGCGCCACAAACCAGGTGCAGTTCGCATGTGTCGATCGCATCGTTAGTGTGTGTATGTTGTGTGTGTATGTTGTGTGTGTGTGTGTGTGTGTGTGTGTGTGTGTGTGTGTGTGTGTGTGTGTGTGTGTGTGTGTGTGTGTGTGTGTGTGTGTGTGTGTGTGTGTGTGTGTGTGTGTACACGTGTGCACGTGTGGGTTCTTGCTTCTCCCTCCTCTTTGTGCCCCTCGCTGCCTCTGCACAAACACTTGCCGACACGTGCCCCCTTCCGCTGTGCCTGTCATGACGTGACCCACCTCCGCCCCATCTTCCCCCTGCTGCTGTCCTGCTGCGCAGATCCTGCACCCGTCCATCTGCGCCACGCTGTTCAAGGGCTTTCGCGAGGGCGAAATGGTCTATGACAGACACAAGCTGTTCTACATGTGAGATCACAAAGCTCCGGTGCTCGTGTCTGTGCATGGCGCCATGTCGTTCCAGGACACACACACACACACACACACACACACACACACACACACACACACACACAATACACACAATGAGCGAAACAATAGCAACAACAACAACAACAACAGCAACAACAACTTAAACAACAACAACAACCATTGCCCTCAAATTGCGCCCACCTTTGACCAGTACACCTGTCACTCCTCATCCCCTTCCCCTCCTCCTCACCACCAACACCACCTACATGACGTCGTGGTGTGCAGGGAGATTGACGACGAGGCTGCCGGTTACATGTTTGATCTGTTTATCACGGAGATCCCGACCATCGTGTGGGCGCTGGACGCGGCACTCAAGCGCAACGGCTCCCTGCGCTACCAAGTCACCTACGAATGGATCTCATCGGTACGTTGCGTGTGGCGGGAACTTTTCATCGTGGCGCACACGTTATTGCGGCATGTATTTGAGAGCACTTTCCAGGCTGCGTCCACACTTCTTCCTTCAATCTGTTACCATGTACACTCATCCACTCACTCACACACACTCATACACACACACACGCGCGCGCGCGTGCGTGCAATCGCACCCTTCACACGCCACCGCAACGACCCGCGCCTGTACAGCTCGTTGGGCGGCTGCCAACGTTTGCGCAGCCCAAGGCAGTGCTGTCGCGGGCGCTCGGATGGGGCCTGCGGTCAAACCAGCGGCTGACGAAGGTCAAGGCGCCCATGATCCCGGGCAAGACGAAGGATGGCAAGCTGGGCATGGTGCCAAACATCCGCTCCCGGTTCTGGCTCGACGACATCCCGCACGGTGTGTTGTTGGGAGGGGAGGGGGGCTCTGTTGGGAGGATGGGGGGAGGGGGGTTGTCGTGTGTTGTATCGTGTCATGCAGTGTGAGATGTGTATCCCGCTTCTTAGTCTCATACCTTGATTGCATGTCAACCCCCTTTTGCAAACGCACGTCTGTTCGCTGTCGCTGTTGTTGCAGGCCTGTGCGTGCTGTTTGGCATTGCTGAGCTGCTTGGGCTGGAGGTGCCAACCATCCTCCACCTCATCCGCAGGAACCAGGAGATGATCGAAAAGGAATACGTCACCGAGCTCCCAGACGCAAAGGTAAAGAGGGTGTATGAAAATGTCGTGTTGTTTGCGTGCGTGCGTGCGTGCGTGCGTGCGTGTGTGTGTGTGTGTGTGTGTGTGTGTGTGTGTGTGTGTGTGTGTGTGTGTGTGTGTGTGTGTGTTCAGCGAACCCCTTGTCTGTTCTCAGCGTGCACGGTTTACAGGCCCTCACATTTGATCATGTGTACGCGTGTACTCTCTTGCCGTGGCTGCATAGGGGAGCCTGCTGTGTGGACGGGATGCACACGAGACCTCTGCTCCACAGGCCTATGGCATTTACACGCTTGACGAGTTTGTCGAGTGGATGCAGTGGGACCGCACCAGCGAGCCCCCAGCGATTGCACGCCTCTCCCCATCCACAGGTACATGCGTGCACGAGCCACGTGTGTGTCTGTGTTTGTGTCTGTGTATGTGCGCGCGCGCGTGTGTGTGTATGTGTGTGTGCGCGCGCGTGTGTGTGTGTGTCCCTGCCTGCCTCCCGCTGTTTCCCACACACGTTTGAAGTCAGTGTCAGTCCGTGTGCTTGTGATCCAACACAGGCCCAAGCAGTTGCGAATCTGCTCCATGTTTGCCACCACCATTCGCTCACCTCCTTTTGTTGCTTCATTCCATGCGTTGGGCTTTGCGCTTGTTCTCTTCAGTGCCACCACCAGACTCCGTGGAGACCAAGTCCAAGCTTTGAAGTGCTGTCAGCACACTCTTGCAGTTTCAAAGCGCCAATTATCTTTCCGTCCGTCCGTGTGTGTGTGTGTGTGTGTGTGTGTGTGTGTGTGTGTGTGTGTGTGTGTGTGTGTGTGTGTGTGTGTCGTCGTCGTCGCGTCGTGTGTCGTCTCT